TGCCTCTGCAAAGGATTTGAGGAAACATTTTTGCACAGGCTAAAAAGGCAACAGAATAAATATGCCCAGATAATGTTTGTGTTGCATTTTAAAACTTCCCTGCCATAACTATATCTATGTAGCACTTACTTTATACAGTGTTTTGCAATCTTTATTGTGTCCACTTTCCCAACAGTCATTTGCAACTGCTTACAGACGGAAAAGTCAGACAATTAATACAAGGCCAACAAAATGGGTTTACTTTGCTGGTAGCATTTGAACCCAGTTTTCTGGCCCCAAACCAGCTTCAATCACATTACACCAGGGGTCAGCAAACTTTTTCAGCAGGGGGCCGGTCCAGTGTCCCTCAGATCTTGTGGGTGCCAGACTATATTTTGGGGAGGAAAAGATGAACAAATTGCTATGCCCCACACATAACCCAGAGATGCATTTTAAATAAAAGAACACATTCTACTCATGTAAAAACACGCTGATTCCCGGACTGTCCGTGCGCCGGATTTAGAAGGCGATTGGGCCTTAGTTTGCCTTAGTTAGATCCAGCCCCTGGGCCTTAGTTTGCCTACCCATGCAGTACACATTATCACTGGTAGCAGTAATAGCAGTAGCAGTAGCAGTAGTACTGTAGTAATAGAAGAAGAAGCAGCGGCAGTAATAATAGTAGTATTTTCACATTGCCCTACCTCTCATGGAAGCCAAAACAAAAATGAAACACATACAAAAAACATATATGTCACAGAAATCATCGACATATACAAATACAGATTCAAAACTGCTGCAGATTCAAAACTGCTGCAGTTTTATAACAGTTATGTCCCCAAAGGCTGAGTGAACGAATACACCTTCTGTTGTCATTAGTGTGTGGGAAAACTGTACTTCCAACCAGAAGGGAATTCCCAAAACCAGCAGCACTATATGCCCTGTTCTGAAGTACCACCTAGGTATACAATATTGACTCCAAAGCCATGCCCAAGCTGGAACAAAGCATGAACAGGACACACGTACAAGACAGAAACTATGGGTGCTTCTCTGGGTGCTATTACTGGGTAGGATTCCATCACATACCAGCATATTCAGGTAGTGAAGTCAAAGTTGCTTTGGCACTGCTGCACCACCACAACACACACACCCGCTGACTTTTTGCTTTAAGGAAAGTGATAAGAAAATGTGGTAGGAAGTGTGGGATAACACTTGCTTGACACAACGTCATATAATCTCCCTGCGAACAAATCATAACAAATGCTCAATAAATAATAGACATCAGCTAACCTCCCCACAAACTTGGTGAAAACAAATCAGAATGAAGACTCAATAAACAGGTTTTCTGTTTATTGTGATCTTCAGATAAAGGGCAGTGAAATATACTCTGAGTCGCGCTCAGTACATAACAGGCAGTACAGTGGTACCTCGGGTTAAGTACTTAATTCGTTTCAGAGGTCTGTTCTTCACCTGAAACTGTTCTTAACCTGAAGCACCACTTTAACTAATGGGGCCTCCTGCTGCCGCCGCGCCGCCGGAGCACTATTTCTGTTCTTATCCTGAAGCAAAGTTCTTAACCTGAAGCACTATTTCTGGGTTAGCGGAGTCTGTAACCTGAAGCATATGTAACCTGAGGTACCACTGTATATAAATTTAATAAATAATAATATTCTAAGAGACTGTCCTGAAAGGAGTTTTCTCTACAAGGGCATCTGCAAAAAGAATTTCATTTTAGGCAATGACTAGAGTGGCAAAGGAGGCGGAAAATGAGGCAGGATTATGGATGGGGTAGGAATGAGTGATAGAAAAGCAGTGTTTTAACTGATAGCTTGTCCACACCCAGGCAACGCTTCCCATTTAGGAACATGTGCCATCTAGAAATAAACTCTGTACTGGTGCCATTAGTACCTGGTCCATGTTCACAGCACAGCTGGCTTTATAAGCACCACCATGACATCCAATGTACCCTCAGATCCTGTAATAGCAAAGTCATTTCTCATTGCCACCCACTAGTGAATTCCCAGCTGAAGGCTTTTCTATACTCAGAACCAGCTCTGCTGGTTGAGGAGGAGGAGGAGGTCATCGCAGCAAAAGAGAGCAGTGGCAAATAGCATTCACGTTTTGCATTCCCTTTGCTAAATTCCAATTGGATTTCCCATTTACTTTAATCTGAGAGAAAATGGATGTCAAATTGCACAGGTAGGCAGTCCTAAGAATAGCAAGAGCTCACATGTAACAAATAACTTCAGCTTCCTACATTATATGCGCACTTCTGCAAATCACTCTCACGACAAAAATGAAATAAAGCGGGAAGGATTTATACCTGTGCTTACCAGCGATTATGTGGGATTACAGAAGCTAACAAAAGTTCTAAACCAAACTGCACACATTTTCTCAACCATTTCAAAGGTGAAAATGGGGACACTACTCAGCTGCAGGAGCATTTAGGACTAAGCCATGGTAGACAATCGTAGTCATTTAGAATGCTTAGTCCTTAAGGTACTGCAAAACCATTTGTTCCATTCATATTATAATTTCTGATGGTCTGAAACTTTGCCTCTCCACTTCCACAGGGCCATTAGCTGGCAGGGGGAATTGGAGACTTTTGTAGTAAGTTGGGGGAAACTCTAAGGTTTCTCAAGGGCACGGGCTTACCATGTTCCACAAGGCAGCAGAAGCTTTCACAGTCTCTCTTTTACTCAAAAAAATGTTTTGCCACCACATGGTGCTGGAACCACAATAAGCAGCAGACCAGCAGCTGTCCTCATTGGTATCAGAATCGCCCCATGGAAACAGGACTAAGTCATAGGATGGCATTGTTTCCAGTGGCACTGTTAGTAAAAATTATTTTTATATGCATAATTGTTTTATCTATGTTTCATTGATGTTTCCTTCGTTAAATCACTTCAAGATGTTTTATATGGCATGATTCATAAATGGAACAAACAAACAGATGCATTAAAAAGATGTCTGCTCCCCAGAACTACTTGTCCCCCTGAGAAGACCATTTTTATGCCATTCATCTGCATCAAATGAGCCAAAGGTAGAATCATAGAATTGTAGTGTTGGAAATAACCCCGGGAATCATCAAATCCAGCCCCCTGCAATGTAGGAATCCTGGGTGAGCTTGAACCATAGAATCATAGAGTTGGAAGAGACCACAAGGGCCATCGAGTCCAACCCCCTGCCAAGCAGGAAACACCATCAGAGCACTCCTGACATATGGTTGTCAAGCCTCTGCTTAAAGACCTCCAAAGAAGGAGACTCCACCACACTCCTTGGCAGCAAATTCCACTGTCGAACAGCTCTTACTGTCAGGAAGTTCTTCCTAATGTTTAGGTGGAATCTTCTTTCTTGTAGTTTGGATCCATTGCTCCGTGTCTGCTTCTCTGGAGCAGCAGAAAACAACCTTTCTCCCTCCTCTATATGACATCCTTTTATATATTTGAACATGGCTATCATATCACCCCTTAACCTCATCTTCTCTGGGCTAAACATGCCCAGCTCCCTTAGCCGTTCCTCATAAGGCATCGTTTCCAGGCCTTTGACCATTTTGGTTGCCTTCCTCTGGACACGTTCCAGTTTGTCAGTGTCCTTCTTGAACTGTGGTGCCCAGAACTGGACACAGTACTCCAGGTGAGGTCTGACCAGAGCAGAATACAGTGGCACTATTACTTCCCTTGATCTAGATGCTATACTCCTATTGATGAGGCCCAGAATTGCATTGGCTTTTTTAGCTGCCGCGTCACACTGTTGGCTCATGTCAAGTTTGTGGTCAACCAAGACTCCTAGATCCTTTTCACATGTACTGCTCTCAAGCCAGGTGTCACCCATCTTGTATTTGTGCCTCTCATTTTTTTTGCCCAAGTGCAATACTTTACATTTCTCCCTGTTAAAGTTCATCTTGTTTGTTTTGGCCCAGTTCTCTAATCTGTCAAGGTCGTTTTGAAGTGTTGAGTCAACTTACAGAGAGAGTCTTCCACTCACAAGATTCCTCCCATTTGTGAAAGTTTCTTTCATTACTGGAGGCTACTTCCATTAATAAAAGGAAACCTTTGGGACCAGCCCAATATTGTTAGATATGACGCTTCAGATATTAAAGCTCATTCTTTTTTCTCTTCACCTCACTGAGATTTGCAACATTTTCCTTTTTGTAGTATTGCTATATAAAATTCTCCTTGCCCTGTTCAGTTTCTATATTTTCAAGTGTTTTTCTTGCCCCCAAGAGAATACATATATAAAGTTACTTAAGGCAAGACCAGTTGCATTGAAACGACTTGTGGTGAGATAAAACAGATTTCTTTTTCTGTTAAGGTATTTTTAAAGGTGGAGTAATTTGTATATGCATCTATAAAATGTGTCATCACTCTGCATTTGTCAGTCTATATTTTATTTCTATGTACTCTTACTGTTAGCGTGAAAGATTAACTCAATAAATCAATAAATTACAGGTTGCTTGTGAAAGTTTGTTTCAAGGAACACATTTTTAAAATATATTCTAATTATGGTTTTGATGTAATAAACTTGCTTAAAGAATTTACCTGGGCTATCTCATGATTCTGTTAAGACTGCAGATACTTGTTTATGGGAACACTCAGTGCTTGATGTTCAAAGATCCTAAACACATGATCAGGACTGCATGTGAGAAGTCCACATCTTTGTGTGTAAACATCACACTTGCAAACACTGAAGGGAAGGGAGCCTAAAAGTCAGTTCAATTCACAGGGGTGCAAAGTTTTCATAAACCCCTTCCAACCATCCATGGAACCTGCAAAAATGGTCTGATAATCCTGTGGAAAACTATCATGTGACTCAATATTTCAAGGTAAAGATTCCTACAGAGGTTTCCAAGAACAGAGTGCCACTTCTTAAAAACCTACTGTGATCACAGTTTTTGGAATCCTCTAACTCTCTGAAACCATCTTCCATGGTGTTATGATTATAATGGGAACAACAGGAAGCTTAGACAGCTTTCCAAAAGTACAAAGGGGATAGCGTTCAATAAACAAAAACAATATATTTACCTGGGTCTTCTATAGACAAATTCTTTGTTAACCACTGAACAATGTCGGAACCTAGAAAAAAATGTGAAAAATAATTAAAATGCAGATGCCATATTTTAAACATGTATGACATTCTAGAAAAGAAAAGTTTGCTTCCCCAAAAGTGCCCATTTTTATTAAGCTGCCTAAATCTGCGACAATATGCACTTTCCTTGGAGTAAGCTCCATGGAATGCAAAATGAAAAATGTAGAACTGGACATGGTCTGTTTCCCATTGTCAAAGAACTATTTATCATGGACACTGTGGTCACAATGAGGCCCTCATACCACACTGACCTTATTGCACACATGTTGATGTGGGCTTTCACTTTAATTATTGTTTAAATAAAAAACTAAAAAATTGCAAACTGGTGTGGAAATGGGGAACTGAACTTAAGACTGGAAAAATGTGAAAGAGAAAAACTTAAATTGACAGATTTGCCTTTGCCTACAAAAACCGTCCCTGTGCTGCAGACACTGTTAGGTGGTTCTGCATCCCATAAAAAAGCAGTGCAGTAGTTTATTCTACATTCCTGATTTATTTATTTGTTAAAGGTAAAGGTAAAGGGACCCCTGACCATTAGGTCCAGTCATGGCCGACTCTGGGGTTGCGGCGCTCATCTCACTTTATTGGCCGAGGAAGCCGGCGTTTGTCCGCAGACAGTTTTTCTGGATCATGTGGCCAGCATGACTAAGCTGCTTCTGGCGAACCAGAACAGCGCACGGAAATGCTGTTTACCTTCCCGCCAGAGCGGTACCTATTTATCTACTTGAACTTGGACGTAAAAAAAGATTAAAATCCAAAAAATCTCAACTATGTTCCTATCTAGCTATTGAACTTGGCTCATGGATTTTCCTGTTGTGCATTGTCTTTACCTCTGAGGCCTGCTATGTGTTTCTTGCACTCTTCTGTCCCATCTACACCAAACATTTTAAACACACAGCTTCTCCCAAAGAATCCTGGAAACTGTAGTTTGCTAAGGAATTGTAGCTCTTTGAAGGGCAAACTCCTGTTGCCATGATTGCTTGGGGGAAGCCATGCACATTAAATGTATAGGGTGGGTGGTGTAGAGAGCAACTTTTTGCATGTGTCCTGAAGTTTTCTCAGTCATTGCTCCATTTGGTACCCCCTCCATGCAATGTTTCTCAGCTCCTGCACATACATTAGCAACTTATATAATTGGGGGTGGGGGTAGTTCATGAACTAAATGTACAGCAAAACTTTGGCTAAGCAAAAAAGCTCGAAAATTCTCTTCTAATTGCAAATTCCAATTAGAACTTCAGTTGCATAACCCTGTGTTGTGAATAAGGAATACAGGCAATACCAAAGATGGTTATTAAGTCGCCACAAACTTGTCCACCCATTTCACAGCAGAGGTGACACCACCTTCCCCTCAAAGGCATAATGCACACACACGAGACATCTCCTTTATCCTCAGTATTTTTGGGCTTATCATTTCTGTGGTGGCCACAGAATCAAATTTCTGTTGTACTTTTCAGACGATGTATTACACAATGGAAAGATGGCGGGAAGGTACATGTTAGAAAATTACTAAGTCAGCTTCAGGGGCCACTTTTACCACAGTTTAAAAACTCATCAGCGTTATGCATGTCTGGTTATATGTGGATTTAACAAAGTAGATACTCAAATCAGAACATTTCAGATATGAACCTAGGGAGAGAATATTTTGGTCAAAGCTGTTGGCAAGTCAAATTAAAGTACACAGATCAGTTAATCTCCTGTTCATGTATTTAAAGCAGTTTAATCATAGTGACTTCAGAAGAGCTAAAGAAATTCAAGTACTCCAGCTTAACATCAGAGGTACAATGCAGACTTCACTAAGTGCATTACAGTATCTTATGTGTTTCATATTTTATTACTGTTGTTTCATAAAATTTATGCACTGCTTAGTTTGTAAAAGCAGTTTACAAAAATAATAAAACAATTTAAAATTGCTAAAAAAAACTTAAAACAACTATTTAAAACATTAAAAAAATTAAAATCAGTGATAAACTAAGACAGTTTAAAAACTCATCAGCATTATGCATGTCTGGTTATATGTGGATTTAACAGTATATTGTATGGCAGTTGCCTATATAGGAGGCATGTTTTTAGTCACAATTTCACTTGACTTTTTTAAAAATACAGACATCATGGGAAAAACAAGGTTCATTTTTCTTGGGATTCCTATTATAGATGATTATGATCAGCAAATCTGTTCCACCAAACGATTCCACTAAGCTTATACTGTATTTTACGACATTAATGCGCATCTACATAGAACTAAAATGATTATGCAAAATTATCTAGCAAGACAAGATTCCTAAATTACATAGGTCTTACAGTTATCCCTCATGCAGAGAAAATATTTATTCTTGCATCATCAGTACACCCTTCCATTACAGTTAAATGTCAATAATAAAAAGATCCGCTTTAATTTATGTCATTGCAAATCAAGAGTTACCTAGCAGTCAAGGAAATTGGCACACCAGAAATACATCTATTTTTACAAAATGTGATCATAGAATCATAGAATTGATTCATAGAATGAATCATAGAATGTGAGGATCCTAATGCTGTGTATAGAATATAAATATACTTTTCACTTAGAGCATTTGAAAAGCCAAAAAGAATTCCGCCTTGGAATTCAACGGGGCTTTTATAAGTGTTTCAGGCACCTTCACAGAAACAAAATATGTCCCTCCTCCTGGATCAGTCAGAGATATGTCAGTGTACAAGTGTAAGTCCTCCATCCCAGCTCAGCCAACTTATGAGCTCAGAACAGGGTAAGTCCAGAAAAGGGGGGGGGGCAGCAGAAGAATCAGTGCTATTCCAAACTCCGTTCAGCCCAGTCAAATGACCTAGCAACCCAGCAGAAATTACACAGGCAAAAAGGGGTGGTGTAAGACAAACTATATTTTAAAGCTTCATTTCCCTCTTTCAGACTTCTACCAGGTCCCCCTACTGTTGGCTTAAATCCCAGTGGGTGCCAGTCACCACTGCCTAGTCTCAGCAAATTTCTTTCTCTTCCTTTTTCCCCTGATTGATTTCACTGCATTCTAGCTGTACTATGTGTATTAGCACATGTTCTTAGAACGGATAACTTGTATGATGATTATTAACTTTTTGCAAACTCTTCTAAAACTAGGCTATGTTGTTAGTGTGTTGTTTATACAAACATGTGCCAATTAATTCTATGGAGACCTATTTTTAATAAATCTGCTACTTCCCTTTGAATGCAATAGAATTATTTGAAATTTATTTTATTTTCCTTGACCACATTAATCCACGTGCACCTAGATCCAGTGGCATGTGACCACAGGACCCGACAAGGGAGTTCTGGGTGTTGGGATCCTACAGGAGCAGGTGGGGGGGTGTAATCCTCTCTCCACCTATCAGGTGCTGGATTGGCCAATGGCAGGCAAGCTTGGATGCAGGGCTGGCTTTGGGGGCAGGACTGATGAAGCAGACTGGCTTCCCTCAGGTCTGCTGCTGGTGCATTTAAACAACCTGCACTTGGAACTCCTACCTGGTTTTCCTTATCGGGTCCTGGTCAAGTGTTGCCATGAACTGGCCGGATTTCAGGGAGGAGGAAGAGGATCCTGGTGAGGGGTGCAGCTGGGAGTGGGTCACATGGGAACAAGCTGAGGGTGGGGAAGGAGAGGTCGTAGTAGACAATAATCGCAGGGTGACAGAGGATGATGAGAGGGCAGAGGCTGGTGCACAGGAATCCAAGCAGCGGGACCCATCACCAGAGCCAGAGAGACCTCCATCCCCATGAATACATTGGGTCCTAAGGCGTAGGGAACAGTGGACAGGGCACTCCAGGAAGCAGAGGCAGGCCAGGGCCTGCAGCCTAGTTCACTAGCTGGCCAGGTGGGGAAGGAGTCATGTGACTCCTCAGCTGGGGCAAGCTGAGAGCAGGTGAAGGTCACATGCCTCATGAAGCCCAGATGCTACAGTATAAGAAAGCAGCAGAGCTGAGGTATTGTGTCTGCTCAACTGCCCATGCTGGGGGACCTCGCCTGGGATTTTCCTTGGAGCTTCATGGGTTTCTACTGCGAGACTAACTGCTGAACTACTGTCTTGGCTTACTTGGACTGACCCCAGATCTTTGGACTTGGCCTGAATGGATTGGCTTCTGGACTTGGAACTTTGTCGTATGGATTGGCTTTTGGGAAATCGAACTTCGTTGTGTCAATTGGCTTCTGGGCGTGGAACTTCGTCTTGGCACAGTGTCTGCCAAGTAGCATGCCAGGGGATCAGGACAAGTGTGCTGTGTCCTCATTCAATCTAGTCGGTGGAGACAGAGGCAGCCCGAAGCCTTGGCCTGCAACTGCAGACTTCCACGCACACTGTGCACTTCATAACAACTCCCTTAATGGCACCTGTGGTTAGACCCTAATACTTACCCTGAGATTTGTAGCAATGTAAATGGTGGCTGCCCTCCTCTATATACTAGAAAGAGAGCAATATTTTTCCACAAGCATCATCTGACTCTTATCAAGTGTACTTGAACTGAACTTGTTTCACAGTAAGCTCAACTCCTCCTGCAAGGATTGTTCTGAAAAGGAGCCTTGCTTGATTTGATCACCTCTCTGTTGCTGCTGAGAACACTAAAGGAGGAACAATAATTTCTTAAGAACAGGTATGAAACTTCTGTTGCCTCTACAAAAGAACAATATGATTTTCTTTGGCTGAACGTTCTTAAAAGAAGTGAAGAACTAGTCTGTTTCCCCACCACTACCCAATCTAATGTTAAGCCACTTTAAGTAGTTCCAAGTATTTATATGGTTACTATTTTAAAAATATGTGAAGAAGCTTCTTTGTTCCCTGGAGGTGGTTCAGCTCTTGTGTGTGAACTGAGTGCAAATTTTCACAGCTCAGTTGCAAGAAACTCATAAAAGAAGGGGGAGACTGGGAAGCACAGCAGCAGGCTCAGTTACAGGGGCTATTCGATTAGCCTTCATTAACGGTGTCACAACAGAGCCATGTTTTCACATCATCTCCTTTCTTCTCAAGTTATATTCCA